GGCGGCGCTCGGCGGTTGGCGCGTTTTAATTGCGCATCACAATCGATGTTTTCTTGGGAGGAGAACGTGCGCCGTTGGACCCCTTGGGTCGGAGACGCTGAGCCGACGCCGCTGAAACCTGGCTTCCAATCTTGGTTTCGGCCGCGCAAATGCGGGGATTTTTACACCGGCGTTCTCGTAGACTCGCGCGTGTGTGGGCGCACACACAGAGACCCGTAGACTAGGACACAGAACCATAGACTCACACAGATATCCGTAGACTCACACAGGGAGACCCGTAGACTCGCACAGAGAGACCCTAGACTCGCACATAGAGACCCGTAGACTCACACAGAGAGGCCGTAGACTCGCACAGAGAGGCCCGTAGACTCACACGGAGACCCGTAGACTCACACAGAGAGACCCTAGACTCGCACATAGAGACCCGTAGACTCACACAGAGAGGCCGTAGACTCGCACAGAGAGACCCGTAGACTCACACGGAGACCCGTAGACTCACACAGAGAGACCCTAGACTCGCACATAGAGACCCGTAGACTCACACAGAGATCCGTAGACTCGCACAGGGAGACCCGTAGACTCACACAGAGAGACCCTAGACTCACACATAGAGACCCGTAGACTCACACAGAGAGACCGTAGACTCACACAGGGAGACCCGTAGACTCACACAGAGATCCGTAGACTCGCACAGGGAGACCCGTAGACTCGCACAGAGAGACCCTAGACTCGCACATAGAGACCCGTAGACTCACACAGAGAGGCCGTAGACTCGCACAGAGAGACCCGTAGACTCACACGGAGACCCGTAGACTCACACAGAGAGACCCTAGACTCGCACATAGAGACCCGTAGACTCACACAGAGATCCGTAGACTCGCACAGGGAGACCCGTAGACTCACACAGAGAGACCCTAGACTCACACATAGAGACCCGTAGACTCACACAGAGAGACCGTAGACTCACACAGGGAGACCCGTAGACTCACACAGAGAGACCCGTAGACTCACACAGGGAGACCCGTAGACTCACACACAGAGACCCGTAGACTCACACAGGGAGACCCGTAGACTCACACAGAGAGACCCGTAGACTCACACAGAGAGACCCGTAGACTCACACAGGGAGACCCGTAGACTCACACAGAGAGACCCTAGACTCACACATAGAGACCCGTAGACTCACACAGGGAGACCCGTAGACTCACACAGAGAGACCCGTAGACTCACACAGAGAGACCCTAGACTCACACATAGAGACCCGTAGACTCGCACAGAGAGACCGTAGACTCACACAGGGAGACCCGTAGACTCACACAGAGAGACCCGTAGACTCACACAGAGAGACCCTAGACTCGCACATAGAGACCCGTAGACTCACACAGAGAGACCGTAGACTCACACAGAGAGACCGTAGACTCGCACATAGTCTTGTAGACTTCCATAGAGACTCGTAGACTCACACAGAGAGACCGTAGACTCGCACAGAGACCCATAGACTCACACATAGAGACCCGTAGACTCACACAGAGAGACCGTAGACTCACACACAGAGACCCTAGACTCACACAGAGAGACCGTAGACTCACACAGGGAGACCCGTAGACTCACACAGGGAGACCCGTAGACTCACACAGAGAGACCGTAGACTCGCACACAGAGACCCGTAGACTCACACGGAGAGACCCGTAGACTCACACATAGAGTCTTGTAGACTTCCATAGAGACCCGTAGACTCACACAGAGAGTCCGTAGACTCACACAGACCCATAGACTCACACATAGAGACCCGTAGACTCACACAGAGAGACCGTAGACTCACACACAGAGACCCTAGACTCACACAGAGAGACCGTAGACTCACACAGGGAGACCCGTAGACTCACACAGGGAGACCCGTAGACTCACACAGAGAGACCCGTAGACTCACACGGAGAGACCCGTAGACTCACACGGAGAGACCCGTAGACTCACACGGAGAGTCCCGTAGACTCACACACAGATACCCGTAGACTCACACACACAGAGACCCGTAGACTCACACACAGAGACTCGGACACAGAACCATAGACACAAACGGAGACCCGTAGACTTCCATAGAGACCCGTAGACTTCCATAGAGACCCGTAGACTCACACAGAGACCCGTAGACTCACACAGAGACCCATAGACTCACACAGAGACCCTGTAGATTCACACAGAGAGACCCGTAGACTCGCACACAGAGACCCGTAGACTCGCGCACAGAGAAACCCGTAGACTCGCACATAGAGACCCGTAGACTCGCATAGAGAGAGCCGTAGACTCGCACAGAGAGACCCCGTAGACTCACACACAGAGACCCGTAGACTCACACATAGAGACCCGGAGACTCACACAGAGACCTGTAGACTCACACAGAGACCCCGTAGATTCACACAGAGAGACCCATAGACTCGCACACAGAGACCCGTAGACTCGCACATAGAGACCCGTAGACTCGCACATAGAGACCCGTAGACTCACACAGAGAGACCCGTAGACTCACACAGAGAGACCCGTAGACTCACACAGAGACCCGTAGACTCGCACAGAGACCCGTAGACTCGCACAGAGACACGTAGACTCGCACAGAGACCAGTAGACTCGCACAGAGACGCGTAGACTCGGACAGAGACGCGTAGACTCGCATGAGACGCCTAGACTCACACAGAGACGCCTAGACTCGCACAGAGACCCGTAGACTCACACAGAGACCCGTAGACTCACACAGAGACCCGTAGACTCGGACAGATGCACATAGACTTGGACATACAGTGAAGGAAAAAAGTATTTGATCCCCTGCTGATTTTGTACGTTTGCCCACTGACAAAGAAATGATCAGTCTATAATTTTAATGGTAGGTTTATTTGAACAGTGAGAGACAGAATAACAACAACATCCAGAAAAACGCATGTCAAAAATGTTATAAATTGATTTGCATTTAATGAGGGAAATAAGTATTTGACCCCCTCTCAATCAGAAAGATTTCTGGCTCCCAGGTGTCTTTTATACAGGTAACGAGCTGAGATTAGGAGCATTTTTTTAAAGGGAGTTCCCCCCAATCTCAGCTTGTCACCTGTATAAAAGACACCTGTCCACAGAAACAATCAATCAATCAGATTCCAAACTCTCCACCATGGCCAAGACCAAAGAGCTCTCCAAGGATGGTCAGGGACAAGATTGTAGACCTACACAAGGCTGGAATGGGCTACAAGACCATTGCCAAGCAGCTTGGTGAGAAGGTGACAACAGTTGGTGTGATTATTCGCAAATGGAAGAATCACAAAAGAACTGTCAATCTCCCTCGGCCTGATGCTCCGTACAAGATCTCACCTCGTGGAGTTGTAATGATCATGAGAACGGTGAGAAATCAGCCCAGAACTACACGGGAGGATATTGTCAATGATCTCAAGGCAGCTGGGACCATAGTCACCATAAAAACTATTGGTAACACTACACCGTGAAGGACTGAAATCCTGCAGCGCCCGCAAGGTCCCCCTACTCAAGAAAGCACATATACATGCCCGTCTGAAGTTTGCCAATGAACATCTGAATGATTCAGAGGACAACTGGGTAAAAGTGTTGTGGTCAGATGAGACCAAAATGGAGCTCTTTGGCATCAACTCAACTCGCCGTGTTTGGAGGAGGAGGAATTCTGCCTATGACCCGAAGAACACCATCCCCACCGTCAAACATGGAGGTGGAAACATTATGCTTTGGGGGTGTTTTTCTGCTAAGGGGACAGGACAACTTCACCGCATCAAAGGGACGATGGACAGGGCCATGTACCGTCAAATCTTGGGTGACAACCTCCTTCCCTCAGCCAGGGCATTAAAAATGGGTTGTGGATTGGTATTCCAGCATGACAATGACCCAAAACACACGGCCAAGGCAACAAATGAATGGCTCAAGAAGAAGCACATTAAGGTCCTGGAGTGGCCTAGCCAGTCTCCAGACCTTAATCCCATAGAAAATCTGTGGAGGGAGCTGAAGGTTCGAGTTGCCAAACATCAGCCTCGAAACCTTAATGACTTGGAGAAGATCTGCAAATCGAAGTGGGACAAAATCCCTCCTGAGATGTGTGCAAACCTGGTGGCCAACTACAAGAAACGTCTGACCTCTGTGATTGCCAACAAGGGTTTTGCCACCAAGTACTAAGTCATGTTTTGCAGAGCGGTCAACTACTTATTTCCCTCATTAAAATGCAAATCAATTTATAACATTTTTGACATGCGTTTTTCTGGATTTTGTTGTTGTTGTTCTGTCTCTCACTGTTCAAATAAACCTACCATTAAAATTATAGACTGATCATTTCTTTGTCAGTGGGCAAACGTACAAAATCAGCAGGGGATCAAATACTTTTTTCCCCTCACTGTAGACCCATTGACTCGCTTGGAGGCTCACAGACTGGCACAGAGATCGAGGGATTCGCAGAGACCGTAGACTCGCATAGAGACCCCAAAAGAGGGAAAAATCGGTGAGTAGGATTGTGCTGCTGATGAAGATGCTGCTGATTATATGCCACCATGGTGACGAGATGTTAAGTACCTCGCCTGGTATACAGGAGGGGGGGCGTGGGTTCGATCCCGACCCTGACGCCTGCTGCTGCTGCTGTATATTTGGAGTTTGTGTGTGTCTCTCTCCCCATGGTCGCGTGGATTTTTTATCTCGGGGGGTGGGGGGGGCCCTCGGGTTTTTTGGTTTTCCCCCTCAACTTTTAGAATCGACGTCGCGCGTGCCGAGTGTTTGGCTACCGCTAGGAATTTCCATGTCGCCGTATCAGCGGCCTTAATTTGCAATAGCCAGGCTCGCCGCGAGAATCGGAGCTACGCGCGGCTCGGTTGAGCGCCCCGCATGGCCAAGCATAAAATTAGTTTAGCTTCAGTTGAGATGACCACGGGCGACGATGTTCATGATGACGATGACGACGTTGACGAACGAAGCTTCGAACGTGCGCTCCCGGGGGGGGGGGGGGCCAGACGTGCGAGAATTCTACGAGGCCCTGCTCCTCGACGGCTGCACCGGGACGCCCGTTGGCGGCGTTGGCGGTGCCGGCGTCGCCGACGGCGGCTACTCGCCGGCGCCGACCGGGCCGCCGGGGATTGGCGAGGTGCGTCCGTGGATCGTCACGTCTCCACCCTCGCCCGAGGCGGCGTCGCCGGCACCTCGGCCCAGCGTCGCCGCTGCAAACGTCACGGCCGCCGCCGCCGCCGCCGCCACCACCACCACCACGGCCGTCGTGACGCCCGCTCCGGTTCATTCGCCGCCTGGGCACCGGTCGCCGGTGACGCTGGTGCCACGCAGCCCCGCACGGCAACCCGAGGTAAGGTGGGTCGGTGGGTGGGTGGGTGGTACTGTTGGTGGGTGGGTAGGTGGGTGGTACTGTTGGTGGGTGGGTCGGTGGGTGGTACTGTCGGTGGGTGGTACTGTCGGTGGGTGGGTGGTACTGTCAGTGGGTGGGTGGTACTGTCGGTGGGTGGGTGGATGGTACTGTCGGTGGGTGGGTGGTACTGTCGGTGGGTGGGTGGTACTGTCGGTAGGTGGGTGGTACTGTCGGTGGGTGGTACTGTCGGTGGGTGGTACTGTCGGTGGGTGGGTGGTACTGTCGGTGGGTGGGTGGGTGGTACTGTCGGTGGGTGGGTGGTACTGTCAGTGGGTGGGTGGTACTGTCGGTGAGTGGGTGGTACTGTCGGTGGGTGGGTGGGTGGTACTGTCGGTGGGTGGGTGGTACTGTCGGTGGGTGGGTGGTACTGTCGGTGGGTGGGTGGTACTGTCGGTGGGTGGGTGGGTGGTACTGTCTTTCGGTGGGTGGGTGGTACTGTCTGTCGGTGGGTGGGTGGTACTGTCGGTGGGTGGGTGGTACTGTCGGTGGGTGGGTGGGTGGTACTGTCGGTGGGTGGGTGGGTGGTACTGTCTGTCGGTGGGTGGGTGGTACTGTCGGTGGGTGGGTGGTACTGTCGGTGGGTGGGTGGTACTGTTGGTGGGTGGGTGGTACTGTCTGTCGGTGGGTGGGTGGTACTGTCTGTCGGTGGGTGGGTGGTACTGTCGGTGGGTGAGTGGGTGGTACTGTCGGTGGGTGGGTGGGTCGGTGGTGTCAGTGGGTGGTACTGTGGGTGGGTGGTACTGTCGGGTGGGTGGGTTCACGGATGGTTGGGTTTGGTAGGTGGTTGGGTGGTGGCCGTGTGGTTGATAATAAGTCTCTTGGAGTCTCTGTGGGTCTCGGAGGATACCCATGAGCCTCTGGGTCTCTATGACTCTCTCTAGCACCTTTTAGCCTGTATGGGTCGTCATGAGTCTCTGGGGCGCTATGAATCTCCACGGATTAACTGGAGATGTATATTCACGAGTTTCTCGGTCTCTGTGTGCATCTCTGCGAGTCTCTTTGGCGCTTCGGGGCACCGAGGCTATGGAGCAGTGGCTATCGTACCGCGCTACGAACACTGCTACTTACCCGAGGTTCGATTTACGCTCGGGGGCGACCACCGGTGACGATTAAATCCGAACGGCTCTTTCGTGGGCTTGGGTCGAATCGGCCTCAAATGAGTACCTGGTGTGTGGCGGTGGTGTAGTCAACATCGCCACCGGGGAGTCGATCGCGGCCAGGCGTGGCGCTGGCCACCCCACCTCCCTCGTGTGCCACAGTGCCGGCCTTCGTAGGCCGGCACTGTGGCACAGTGCTGCTCGCTAGCAGCACTTGCCCCAGCAGTCTGTTAGCGCTACACGGGGGATCCTTTGTCTGTGCGTGTCTTCGTGCCTGTAGCGGTTAGCGCATTGCTCGACAAACCCGTCGACCCGGGTTCGATTCCCGCTCACGGCCAACACCGGTGACGATTATCTGCACGAGCACAGGGCCTCCCCTAGGTCGACTCCGCCTCGACTGAGTACCTGGTGCGGTGTGTAAACATCGCCACGCCAGGGTGGCCGGGCGTGGTGCTATGGTGCAGTGTTGAGTCTTTGGTGCAGTGTTGAGTCTATGGTGCAGTGTTGAGTCTACGGTGCAGTGTTGAGTCTACGGTGCAGTGTTGAGTCTATGGTGCAGTGTTGAGTCTACGGTGCAGTGTTGAGTCTATGGGCAGTGTTGAGTCTATGGTGCAGTGTTGAGTCTATGGTGCAGTGTTGAGTCTATGGTGCAGTGTTGAGTCTACGGGGCAGTGTTGAGTCTACGGTGCAGTGTTGAGTCTATGGTGCAGTGTTGAGTCTATGGTGCAGTGTTGAGTCTATGGTGCAGTGTTGAGTCTATGGGCAGTGTTGAGTCTATGGTGCAGTGTTGAGTCTACGGTGCAGTGTTCAGTCTACGGTGCAGCGTTAAGTCTATGGTGCAGCGTTGAGTCTATGGTGCAGTGTTGAGTCTATGGTGCAGTGTTGAGTCTATGGTGCAGTGTTGAGTCTATGGTGCAGTGTTGAGCCTATGGTGCAGTGTTGAGTCTATGGTGCAGTGTTGAGTCTACGGTGCAGTGTTGAGTCTATGGTGCAGTGTTGAGTCTACGGTGCAGTGTTGAGTCTACGGTGCAGTGCTGTGTGTATGTATTTTGAACTTCTTTCGCACCGTACGTAGCCAACCGCACTAATCCTTGGTGCATGAACCGTGCCCCCCACCTCCCCCCCCCCGATTCTTACGCGTCACGGACTTCCTCGGATGTTCAAAAAAGTGCCCCTCCCCCGCCCCTCTGCACCATGCCCCCCCTATTCCTACTCTCACCACAACCCCCCTACACACGCCAACCACTCCCCACCAGAAAATGCAGCGCGATTCCCATGCCCCTTTTTTACGTACTTGTCAGGCAAAAGGTTCCATTGGAAAGCCCGCACACACGTACACACAAGCGCGCGTGGCAACACAAACAACAACAACAACAACAACCGCCATTCGCCACTAAGTGACGGCGACGTTAAGGCCGCCAGGTTAAGTGTCGGACGCCCGCTGGCAGGAGGTCACGGGCACAGACCCAGCAGGTGCCATGGGTCGACTGACTGAGATGACTGTCCGACGCACCACCTGTGCCCCTTGCCGTGCCACACCCAGCACACACGCACGAGCGAGGGAAGATCCGCCACTCTCTGAGCTGGTGAGCTGGTTGGAGAGTTGGTACGAGAGTGGCTGGTGAGCTGGTAGGAGAGTGGGCTGGTGAGCTTGTAGCAGAGCGGGCTGGTTAGCTGGTAGGAGAGTGGGCTGGTGAGCTGGTAGGAGAGTGGCTGGTGAGCTGGTAGGAGAGCTGGCTGGTGAGCTGGTAGGAGAGTGGCTGGTGAGCTGGTAGGAGAGTTGGCTGGTGAGCTGGTAGGAGAGTGGCTGGTGAGCTGGTAGGAGAGTTGGCTGGTGAGCTGGTAGGAGAGTTGGCTGGTGAGCTGGTAGGAGAGTGGCTGGTGAGCTGGTAGGAGAGTGGCTGGTGAGCTGGTAGGAGAGTGGGCTGGTGAGCTGGTAGGAGAGTGGCTGGTGAGCTGGTAGGAGAGTGGCTGGTGAGCTGGTAGGAGAGTGGCTGGTGAGCTGGTAGGAGAGTGGCTGGTGAGCTGGTAGGAGAGTGGGCTGGTAGGAGAGTGGCTGGTGAGCTGGTAGGAGAGTGGCTGGTGAACTGGTAGGAGAGTGGGCTGGTGAGCTTGTAGCAGAGCGGGCTGGTGAGCTTGTAGCAGAGCGGGCTGGTGAGCTGGTAGGAGAGTGGCTGGTGAGCTGGTAGGAGAGTGGCTGGTGAGCTGGTAGGAGAGAGGGCTGGTGAGCTGGTAGGAGAGTGGCTGGTGGGCTGGTAGGAGAGTGGCTGGTGAGCTGGTAGGAGAGTTGGCTGGTGAGCTGGTAGGAGAGTGGCTGGTGAGCTGGTAGGAGAGTGGCTGGTGAGCTGGTAGGAGAGTGGCTGGTGAGCTGGTAGGAGAGTGGCTGGTGAGCTGGTAGGAGAGCTGGCTGGTGAGCTGGTAGGAGAGTGGCTGGTGAGCTTGTAGCAGAGCGGGCTGGTGAGCTGGTAGGAGAGTGGCTGGTGAGCTGGTAGGAGAGTGGCTGGTGAGCTGGTAGGAGAGTGGCTGGTGGGCTGGTAGGAGAGTGGGCTGGTGAGCTGGTAGGAGAGCTGGCTGGTGAGCTGGCTGGTGAGCTGGTAGGAGAGTGAGCTGGTAGGAGAGTGGGCTGGTGAGCTGGTAGGAGAGTGGCTGGTGAGCTGGTAGGAGAGTGGCTGGTGAGCTGGTACGAGATGGGGGGCGAGCGTACGGACGAGCGGGCGAGTCTCCTCCCGCATCGATCGCCGCTCCGGTGTCTCCCAGAACGCGACCCGCTTAGCATGCAGGCGGCGCGCGGTGGCGCAGCAGCGTCGACGCACGGCGTCAGCGCCGCGGGGACCCACCGCCTCGACCCACGTCGCCGGGGGGTGGTGGTGGTGGTGGGGGGGTGGTGGTGGTGGGGGGGTGGTGGTGGGGGGGGGGTGGGGGAGGGCCTTGTCCTGGCCCCGCCACCCACAACAGGATGAGATGAACGTTGGTGCCGAGAAGGCAGCAGTAGCGGGGGGCGGAGCTCGCTGAGATTGGTGGACACCCGGCCTGGTGGCGGCGGCGGTGGTGGTGGTGGTGGTGATGATGGTGGTGGTGGTGATGGTTGTGGTGGTGATGGTGGTGATGCTTGTGGTGGTGGTGGCGGCGGTAGCGGAGGCGAAGATTCATCGTCTAATTGTGTGCCGGCACGAGAGCTATTTTTAGCTCCTGCCTCCCCGTGTGGCCAGCGCGCTCGCCTGCCTCTCTCTACTCTTTTACTGCCTCTCTCTCCTCCTGCCTCTCTCTCCCCTCCTGCCTCTCCCTCTCTCTCCCCTCCTGCCTCTCCCTCTCTCTCCCCTCCTGCCTCTCTCTCTCCTCCTGCCTCCTCTCTCTCTCTTCCTGCCTTTCTCTCTCGTCTTGTACTGCCTCTCTCTCCTCCTCACCTGCCTCTCTCTCTCCTCCTGCCTCTCGTCTTGTACTGCCTCTCTCTCTCCTCCTGCCTCTCTCTCGTCTTGTACTGCCTCTCTCTCCTCCTGCCTCTCTCCCTACTCTTCTACTGCCTCTCTCCTCCTGCCTCTCTCTCTCCTCCTGCCTCTCTCTCTCGTCTTCTACTGCCTCTCTCTTTCCTCTACTGCCTCTCTCTATCCTCTACTGCCTCTCTCTATCCTCTACTGCCTCTCTCTCTCCTCCTGGCTCTCTCTCTCCTCCTGCCTCTCTCTCTCTCCTCCTCTCTCTCTCCTCCTCTCTCTCTCTCTCCTCCTCTCCTCTCTCTCTCTCCTGCTCTCCGCTCCGCCCTCGACTCCCCCCTCCGCTCGCCGTCCCTCGGAAGTCGTCGTCGTTCGTCGGGTGACCCGGTTTAGCGACCACGAAAAAAAAATCTAA